ATGGCTAGACATAGACAGGAAGTTACCGGGCGCGTAGACCGGCATTGGTATGAAACGGACAGAGATGAAATGAGTGCCTATTTCGGTGTTATCATAAATTAGAAACCAAGTGAATTGTAAATAAAATGTGTGTTTTTTTTTTAAATGAAATGAAACTACAGTGTCCTAGTCTTCTTTTCCCTGTGTACATGTCAACCTACCTGGCTCACACTGAATTGGTAAAAAGTTTTGGGTAATGGGAGTACAAATATGCAAATTAGTAATGGGCCCTGCAACATTGTTGCAACAAAGTATCTATGGTGTGCAAAGGGTTAATGCAGCATTCAAAGAAAGCAGTGCTTACACCCATGACCAATGGTTTACCTTTGTACAAAAGCTGTTGAGAATTACTCAAATGGATAATGTAGATATCAGTCAAGCAAATTTCTGTGACTTGTTCAAAGAGAAGATGAAGCTTATTTACATTAAATATTGGGGAAATGATTTACAGAAAATTGGCCATAATAAGTTAAGCACTTATTACAACACATTTAAAAGTAATTATAAGTTAGATAACTATTTGGATGAAATTAAAAACAAGAAACATAGAATAGCTTTAACTAAATGCCGTATTTCAGCACACTTTCCTATTGAGACAGGCCGTACTGATAGAGATAATAGATGATGTAATTTATGTAACAACGATGACTTGGGGAATGAAATACATTATATAATGCACTGCAAACATAATGATATTACTGGGCACAGGGATAAGTTCCTTAAATCATTGTATATTTATGAAATACATTATACAATGCACTGTAAACATAATGATATTACTCGGCACAGGGATAAGTTTCTTAAATCATTGTATATTTATGAAATACATTATATAATGCACTGCAAACATAATGATATTACTGGGCACAGGGATAAGTTTCTTAAATCATTGTATATTTATGCACCCAATCTACATAATTTATGTGAGGAAGATTTGTTTGTGCAGATTTTCTCTAGTAATGATAAATTTATCTATATCAATTAGCTAATTTTGTTTTTCGGATTATAAAATTATTTTAGTTTAGTTAATTAGTTAGTTGTTTTGGATTGTCTTTTTGTTTTGTTTTTTTGCACTTTTCTTAAGCTCAAGCTATTTGTTATTATTATTGATCCTTGGGTTGTGAGGACGAGTATTTCAAAGCGCCCTCTTGCAAAATCAACTATGGTTTTTTGTTTTTGTTTTTATCATTGCTCATTCCCAAAAGTTTAAAATACTTTATCTATTTACGTAAGTCGTTAAGAGAATGTGCCCGACACGTGGTATTCCCGGGTGATATTTTAGTTAATCGGCTTGAAACAATGTTTCTTTGGTTGGCTGCGGTATACAACATCGAAATTACTGGAATAAAAGGCGCCTTTAAAGTTTAATTAACACTGTGTGGTAAACAATTACGGAAACATATGCTTGAATCGCGGTTTCTATACAAAAATGTTTACTGCATTTTTTTCAATCATAAGCCTATGGTCTCATCAACACACTACATTGTACCACGAGGATACCGACTAGACGGCCAGGAAATGACCCCATTAAGGCCACCTTCTCCCCCTTCGCTACCAGTCGACTGTCTTGTTGTATATTAGCATAAACGGAGCACTCAGACGTCTCGTTGGCCACCTTGTGTCTGTTCCATTTCTGCTGGTATTTTGCCAACCGTGGAGTTGAGTTGCGAGTGTTTGTAGAATAATTTCACAGCAACTGGAGTCGAAACAATGTGAGTTCAATTATACTTTCATAGCTAGACGATATATTACTTTTATTAGACTGGTGCATGTTGATTGTTTTTTTCTGTGTATGCTAGCAAAATCACGCACAAGTCAAAAGTCCAAAAGTTTCAATCGCTCACTCGTTCGTATTTTACTTTTTAGCCGGCTAGAGACGTATATTTCTAAGTGTCAATTCATGCAGCCCGCATACTAGTAATTGTATTTGTCCGTTCCATGTGTAAATATTTCCGTGTACAAACATTTCCTGAAGTTCCTGAAAATCTGTTCCCATTTTCAGCAAAAAACCAAAATGGCAAAGCAAATCGGAATCATGTTGTTATTGTGCCTTGCAGCTGTAAGCGTGAGTACTTATTATATTCAAATATTGAACAACAGTGATATTATTTACAGATCGTCAGTCACACAGGAGAAATATTTTCACCTCCAGTGTGACTTCACGTTGAAAAAAAGACCCCCCTCAAATTTGTTCGTGGAGTCATTCATGGGCGCACAAGCGTCGGAATTTGCGATATCGGTAACCGGCGCCGGTGTACCTATCCGGTGTATGCACACCATTCTGAAATTGTACTATCGCCCAAATGTCTTTAGTTCAAATAGTACGGAATACTACTACACGATTTTTCGTTATCCTGTTGTCTACAAATGCTGTAGCACATTGACATACCTAGCCAATTTATTCATCCTCGTGTTATGTACGGTATGGGGTTTTTATTGCCACCGAAAACGTGCTGGATTGCCGTTTGAAGAGAAGTGCACGGCACACTATTACCGAATTACGAGTCGTAGATAAGACGTAATGCAAAGTGTGTAAATCACTTTTTATGACTGGGTACCAAGAAAGTCCAGATTTGTAGGTGTCAGCGTCTGGGTCAAAATATCTACAGAAATTTATATTTGGTTCCCAAATTTGTGAATATAATGTTTATTAGACTCATTTGATTCATTAGGCAAATCATAGCTGTTCAACATTGTTTTGGGTTCTAAGGACATCTGTCGGTATACTGTAAATGTATTAATTATTCACTGGGGTTTATTTTCGCTGATAAGAAAAATCCACTAAATTACATCTATGTGAACATGTAAAATAACAATAGAACTCATTGTTTCCTTGACAAATTTGTGAAATTAAAACACAGTGCATATCCTTAAAACATCAAAATAGTAAAAATAAATGGTTTTACAGTATGTGTCGGATTTTGTAACAATTCACAAAACAAAACCTGCATAATTGAAAGCATATTTTTTCAAAAATTGTGTTCAGCACCTGCAGCAAGTAGGCCTATTTGGTCCAAAATTAGCATCGCAATTACAAAAAACTCCATAAAGTGTAAATACGTATCCATAGAAGAAAGTTCTTGAAGCATATTGCATTTTCTCTTGTATAAAAAACAAACCACTATTTTTGTTTGATAGATCTGTCTGTATGTAGTAATTGTGTAAAAAGTATTCGAAAGTGTAAAAATAATATATACCATTTAAATAATATCGTAATACATTTTTGTACTTCAAAGAATGCCCAAGTAGTATATGTGAATACACCTTATCTAAGTGACCCTGTTATTACATATCCAACTCATTGTTGAATGAAAACTCTCACAATATTTTGTGAAAATCTTTTTTTTTGTCTTAAAGCCTGTCGCATGAAGAAATGTGAAGCCACTGTCACAAACGAGATAAAATTGTGCGATTACCACAACTCATGATGGGGAGTAAAGACCAGCAGGCTTTTAGCCAGCTACCTATCAACCTTGTCATTTTAGACTGGTACTCCACATTTCAGACAGATAAAAAAATTAATTTTACAGACAAAATTTCTATAAACCAGTTCAATTATAATCGAAAATTACCAGTAAATTACATAATAACCTTAAATAATCTACTAAAAATTGATCGTAAGGCTGTGGTTATAATCTTGGTACTGCTATCTTTCATTTTGATAAAGTTTCAGACAGACACTTTCTATTTTCTGACTGGTGAACCAGTCGAGCCATAAAAATGTAGCACACATGATGTAACCAATGTTATATTTGTAGTCTTCTAGTTTCATTCTAGTTTCAAATCCCACTTGTTGATTGGGGCTTTCTCACAATGCAGCTGACAGTGCATACCTAAATCAATTCATTGCAAAACTTGTCGGGCGAGATGCAAATCATAGGTGTGTTAGTTAAGTTGAATTGTCTAGTTAGACATCAAAATGTTTTCTATAATTATTTCATTTGCTGCATTATTTCTGTGCAGCAATAGCTCTGATGTTTAGTTTAGTTTAGATTATTCGTATTCATATTATATCATATTCTTATGACGTTATTATCATGATCAGTGATTGGTTTTAGAACCGACCTATCACAACTTGAGTTTCATGTCATGTGACACTGGAGATCCTCAGGCCATTGTTATCGTTATTATTATTTGTTGATGTTTCCCGTTTTGTAGTTCAATAAATGTCAATCCTGACATGAAACTTGCCGACTTCGTTAATTGTTCCGACCTATAGTATACAGTGGCTATACTTCGAGCCAAATCACAGCCACATATCAAACCCCAAAATGTTCATAAGCCACATTGAGGCAACAAAATTTATTTATTGATTATATTATAGTTTATGTAAAATTTTTCTTGCAGACAACTGTTTGTTTGAAGCATTCGGCATATCAAGTAATAGTAATATTATAAATGCAACAATTATGATGTAACAGTAAGATATCTGTCAATAGCTGATAAGTACCAAGGATTTCATCATGCCACAAAATCACATGTTGAATATTCTGTTAGACAGTTGAACTATATCACATATTCAATATTAGATGTGAAGCATATACTGTTATAGTGAATGAGTTGTGACGTATGTAGATGCCAGACCTAAACAACGATAACAACACGCATTCAAGTCAGAAGTCCCATGGGGCAGACGTCTACCATATGTGCAGATGGCCTGACTCCCTTGTTTTAAGATTGGTCTGAGATGCACACTAGATATTTGTTACTTGCCGTTAGATTCCTTCCAATTCTAAATTGATAGGATGACTATTCTACTCATGTTGCAATTACCTGGAGCTGAATTTGTAATACATTTTTCATCACAAACAAATGCTAAATATGGCAGGTTTCAATTCGTATAACCCGTGAATGTCGCAACTTTCAGATTTTTGGCCAATTTACTCATTGAAAGGGTTTAAAATTTTGTCAAACAATACTGTACAGTAAAATCTGTGGTGGTCCATTTGTGATTCAGTGTAGTACGAACTCGCATTTAAACCTGCTGTTAACTTCAATAACTTTGTAAACAGAACTGTTTTATCAGGCTCATTGGTGAGACAGTTTCCTCTGCACTAGCATTAGCTTGATCAGTTGGGGAGCAGAACAATAAAGCTACTACTCTGACCCCCACATAAAGAGTCTTTAGTGTCAACTATTATCCCAGTTTCCCACACATTTAAAAACAAGGTTTCCATGGTTATTTTACAAGGCCACTATAGTCATTGTGCAGCATGCCATTTAAATTTCTTGTAAACACATTTTGCATGCGTTATATACGTTGTCTCTATGGGTTCCATATCGAACATGACTTAGTGCGACTGTAGCATTTCAAGTTAACTGTATTCTGTCTAATGGTCAATGTCAGTGTCATGACATGACACCACAGTACTGCCAGTCATAGTTCTCGTGTTTAAATTCTCTACATAGTCAGGACTCCAGTTGTGCTGTGACCTCAATATAGCAACAACAAAGTCATGATTGGGAGTTTTTGGATTGTACTTTAACTCTTACCCCAAAAAAGTATGAAAATGAATCCTTTCATAGTTTCTGAATATTGAATATCACAAGATTGAATCTGTAAATTATGGCAACGTCGACGAGTAATCAATTCCCTAAACTTTTAATGTTGACCAAACTTGGTTGAAAGCCTTTCAACATTGAATAACTTGGCTAAAAATCAAATTTACTGCATTTGTGATTTGTACTGGTCGTAATCATGCTGGCACAATGCACCATTTATTGACCAAGTTATTTATTTTCACTACAATAAATCCCATCATGCAACTAAACATAACTATTAACCTGGGAAGTACGTAATGTACGATATTCTCATCTATGCAGTAGTAACATGAGTAGAATCATCATTGTTGCAACACAAGAGTACGGTGTGCATTCAGAGAGTTGAGCTAAATTACCCTGGTAATGAGAAACGCATGTCTAACCTAGGGACACTTAATATAAGGCACAAATCCCAGTATAAAATCCACACCTAATCAATTTTTAATTGAATTAATTAAAGTCTTGAAAGAAATTTATACACATAATAGTTTCTCCTAAACTACAGGTATATACTAAGCTATGTTAAACTTATTTCGAATGAAACAATTCAAGTTTCTGAATAAAAAAAATACAAGTTAAACAGTACTTTAATCAAAATAAAACAATTAGTGTCAAAAAATCCTGTGACTGGCATGCCTATGCTACAAGTAGTTTAAATGTAACAGATTGTGTTAGCATTTTTGTGTACTAGTAGGGACTCCTGATGAGAAAATGAACTGGAACATATTTGTTGTACAAATGTGATCTTTTTTTGTACTTGGATTTGGTTCTTTTCTAATATTGGGGGTCCGGTAAGCAGAATATTTGGTCAACTCTATCCTTAGTTTAAAAAGCATGCACCACCACTCATTAGGATCTGTTTAAGTACTGTGAAGTATATTATTTTCACTGAAAAGGCTTTTTCCATGTTTTGTATGGAATTTCTTTTCATGGATTCGATTGTAAAATGGGAAAAGAATATATTAACTGGATTTTATTTTCACTGAATCATCCCCTCAGTGAAAATAAATTCCAACTGAAAGTGAAACATGGTTTTAAACTCAAGTTGGAATCAGATTTTGTTGGTTACTACTGAAGTTCACATAGCATGGTGTTACATACGCCTGGGGTTAGAGAAACCTGATCAAAATTTGTCGGTCTGTTTTTCCAAAAATGCTTCTGATGTTTCATTGTAAGATTGAGTTACTGTTTAATAACAAACATATAAAATTTTCCAATATAAAAAATTTAAATTTGTCTCCTGCACTTAGTTTTGCTGAAGCTTTTTGTGAACTAAGCATTCTCGGTGATCTGGTTGAGTTTACCACTTATCTAAAAGTGTAAGTACTTGTAAACCATAACATATTTGTGTGTTTGGATGTTAGTGATGTTAATCTGAATTACGCAAGGTTGATCAATATAGTTTAACAATCAAGCCATGGGTCAAAGCTTGATGCACAGGGGTTCTCACATGAGAATTAACACGTTCTGTGGTCTATTGGAACAGCTGTATATTTACAAATGGGTCTGTCATGTCACCATTTG